TTTTCCCTTGTCTTCTTCCCTGTTTGATTGAATGTGGTTCCATGAAACCTGTCTGATTGAATTAGCAGGACATGAAGAGAAGGTAAAAGTTATGAAAAATAAATCTAAATTCGGATATGTTGCAAAAGAAAAAGTATACATCCACTTGGTGGAAGACTTGGTGGAAATAAAATATGGATCAACAAGGTCGGCTGGAAATGGGACAACAAAGAGAACAAACTATTCAAAATGGGGACAAAAAACTAGTAAACAAATGTGCCGCAAATAATATGACAAACCAAGTAATGATAATGGACATGAGTAGTTATAGAATGACCAAGGATGTGAGCAACGAGAGACAAGAACAGGTAAACCCATAAAAATGCAGTCAGAAACGAGCAAGAATATAAATAGTAACTATTTAAAACCCACATTAAACAAGAAAGAGCTTAATGACACGGCCCACAATAACGGAGCAACGCTAAAGTCCAAAGGATGGACATTAGCAACATGAAATGTCAGAGGTCTCAACTGCGAAGAAGTCGAACTTGTTGAAGAATTTGAGAAAAATCAAATAGACTTACTGGGTCTAACAGAGACCAACAAGAAGGTAAAAAACACAGTTTTTAGAAAATGGACACTTCTTCAACATCAATGGAGTGTCACTACGCGAAAGGGCAAAAGAAGGGGTAGGCTGCCTGATACGCAGTAACCTAATAAAAAATATTCGAGATTGGGAATGCATTTCCGAAAGAATTCTAAAGATAAGACTGGTAAGTTGTAACGACTATTTTGCTTACCACAGGGTAAGAATATGGGGGGACAAGATTGGGCAAACAAAATAATCGAAACAAATGCATACGGCACTCAGTTGGTTGTTGGAGAGCTGGGTCGTGGATAAGTTGAAGATATTGGGGTTTGGATTAGGGCAACTACAAAAAAAGAAATAAAGGGGTACTTTTACAAATCTCTTGGGACAAACAGAATGAAAATAAACGGAAACACCTCAAGAAATTTAATATAGGGCGCCACTTGAGGTGCCTAATTATACCTATTACAACCACTAGTTGTAACTAGGAAATAATTATAAAACACAAAAGTATAGAAAAAAATATCTTTTTCAAATAAAACTCAAAATAGATCAGAGAAACAAATTGAACGTTTATTCTTGTCTCAAACAAACAGTTATCAAAAATACAGATTATAAAAGAAACATATTATATAACATAATACAAATAACAAAAACTTATATGTTCTTTGTTTACATAAAAGATTGCTACAAATATTTTGAAATAGTTCCTAGGTTATATTATGGCCAATTTAGATTACTAAATTTTATGGATATCCTTTTTATGAAAATATTATTGAATTTAATCTCTACGACAAAAATATTATAAAACTTTAATTATTACAAATCCTTTTATTTTAATGAAAGCAATTATTAACAATGTCTTTATAACTTGGAAAAAAATTAATATATTAAAAGTTACCTTAATGTTTTTATTATCACTTAAATTTGAAACTTATTACATCTCGGGTGAAGCTTACTTGAACAAACTCTGGAAAACTGGAAAACAGCAACTATCAGGAACTATTTCTGCTCTACAGGACGAAACAATCGAACTAACTCAGGGTTGAGGAATGAAGCCAAAAAAAATCGGGACACCTTATTCCACACTTTGCAAAAACTTCCGGTGACTACCATACCATAGGTAAATAATATAACATGAAACACTCTGTTTCAAAGACGGCAATTAAAAACCTAAGAATATCTTCATTTTTTACTGGTATTAAAACATTACCAAGAAAATTAACGATTGAATCGAACCAATCGATTCAAATCGATACGTGTGTCCCGTACAATTGATTAAGCTCGATTCCTCTTCCGCGTTACATTTTACAAATTCAAAGCCAAAAAATTTCCCTTCCGTCTTACAGCTAGCCTGTCGTCCACAAACTTAAAACAAACAATCTTCCCCTTGTTATTCGTTCCTAACGATGAAAGACAAATTAAACCTTTTTTTTATCAGGAGGCATCATAAATTATAATCCCTTTATATACAAAAAAAACTTCGTCGAAATAGATATACATAATACAAATTAACAAAATAGCACGTATTTTAAACCGGAGTTCTACCTGACTTTGTAACAAATGGTTCGATATTTGAATCTAAACACAGACAAAAACATCTATATTTACTTTTGAATCGGTAGAAATATACGCATTATTGATTATTCTAACCGGAATATTAGGGGGACTTCATGTAACATAATACCTCTTGGGCGACAAAAAACTTGTTGTTTCACCTAACATTGCAACACAGAGATAAAAACATATTTCCAGCGTTAATACGCATTTAAAAATCTCGTCAAAAAAAACTTGAAATATTATTTCGTTTTCTTTGGTAAAAACAACAGGAGCGTACTACAGAAATCTTTTATATACACATTAAATAAAAAAACGCTACAAAGTGCGGAACACAAACTAGTCAATATCATCGTTATGTATGGAATAAATGATGATAAAGACCTATTCTGGGATAAGGCATCAGAAATAATAATAGACAGTTTAGAAGGCAATACTATAGTACTAGGGGATCTAAATAGTCGAGTGGATGTAAGAGATGAACATACCCAATATGTATTAGGACCATATGGAGAAGAAATAAAAATGACAAATGGGGAAACTATTATTGATACATGCAGAGAAAATAATTTAATAATAATAAACACATTTTTAAACACAAAGATGTACATAAATATACAAGAGAAGTCAAAAGTAGAGGCGAAAGATCCATCATAGACTAAGTCTTAGTAAATAGATCATCGAGACAATGTATTAAAGACGTAAGAGTAAAACGAAGAGCTGAAGTATATAGTGACCACTATCTAGTTGTAGCCAGGATCAGCTTGGGGATGAGACAAGAATTAATAACGAAAGAGTCCAAGAAAACAAGTAAAGATCATGATATAGCTCAGTCACATAGGCTAGCAGTCTATGGAGGAGACAGCAAACAAGTTTGAAAACTATGTTAATAACTACCTAACAAAGCACGCTGAACATGACTGTGACTTACACCATAATTGGCAAATATTAAAAAGAAGCATTTCTAAACGGTGGTAAACAAGTATACGAAATAACAAGAAATAAAAGAAGCAAGAAGTGTACAAACTGGTAGAACAATAAAATAAAAGCAGACGTCAAGTACAAGAAGATAGCTTGAAAAAATTATTTAAAGAACGGAACCGCAGACAGCTACCAAATATACAAACTGCAAAGAATCAAAGTCAAAGATATGGTACTAGCAGCGAAACGAAAAATTTGGAAGAATTCGAAAACAAGATGAAAGAAGACTACCACTATAACGAAAAGTCATGCTTTAAAATCCTGAAGAATTTAAGAATCGAAAAGGCTCCACAAATACCAAAGCAAATAAGGGACAAAGAATGACACTTACTGCATGACAATGACCACATCCTAGATAGATGGAAGCAATATTTCGAGGATCTACTGAATATCCAAAACGATGTAGACATTATCACAGAAAAACCAGAAGAGGTAGAGAAAGAAGACCTAATTCAAGACGAAATAACTATAGCAGAGTCAAAAGAAATTATACAAAAGCTTAAGAAAAGTAAGGCGGCTGGATTCGATCACTCAGTCGCTATGAATTGCCGTTCTGACGAATCCTATTAGGCTAAAATACGTATAAGCGGCTACATAGAGGCACTATACGTGAAATTAATTCCTTTTTATTCCGATTACTCTGAACGAGTACGAGGAAACAATTCGCTAAGGATTTTTGCTTAGTTGAGGAGATATGACGTGGAATGCAAATTTTAGATTCCCCATGTCTCTAAATAACATCTTTATCAACGTCCGTTTTGCCTTGCAATTCTTAGAAGACAAAGATTAAAGCAAAAATCTGAATTTGGTTTCAAAAATTAGTTTACGGTTTGGTTTGAGGTTTTTTGGACCTTTGACCCCCAATAACTTTTGTAGCACATATACGATCGATGGGGATTTTTAAAACTTTATTTATAAAGGTAAACCCCAGTTCTCCACCAATATTTGGCTTCCCGGGAATTTTTAATACTTGACTACTATTTTTATGTTTAAATTGACCGGATTATATAGAGTAAGCAATAAATTTTGAATCTTTTTTAGATAAATATTAAAAATATTCTCCATTTTAAAATTATTTTAGTATACATATATATCGAAAATTTTATTTTAAATAGAAATATTTTTTAATCAAATAAAGTTTTTGTTAATTAAAAAGCGCTTTTTTTGGAGAGCAGATCAATTACAGTTGAAAACGTTTTTATTTTGTGTAATTAAAACCAGAAAGTATTTGCTGATGAATTTTATTTGCACCACGAGTTTGAGTACGTTTTACTGACAAGCAAATACAATTACATGATTTTAAATGCATATACTAAATATATATACATACAAGATAAAAATGTTACTGTGATTGAAAGTTCAATTCGTTTTTCTTTTTCAATTTCAGCGTTTTTATTTCAGTGTTATATAGCCTTCATTTTTTGTTACCGTGCATTGAGTATGTTGGAGGCTTGCTTAATGAGTTTCATGTGGGTCAACTTTCACAAAATGGTCAAACATATTGACTCAAAACTTGTACTTGTAAAAACTGCCTTTAGAACTCCTCGATCTTCTATCAGTCAAGACAAAAATCTTTGACACACACACGCAAAACGTTTTTAAAAAGTATTATCTAAGATTGCCACTGTTAAACAACAATAACCTAATGGACAAGTATCGAAACCCTTCTGTTACATCGTCCATCTTATCCCCTCCTTACAATCTGTTTTCTTAACTTATATCTGCTTTGGAAAACAAGATTGTAAACTATCTAAACTCAATGAAAATCTTCTATTTCTCTGTAAAACAACTGAAAGCTAGCACAAACCATTGTAAAAATGAATGATAAGTTTATAAATGTATTTATTACTAAATTGTTTAAACAAAATCGAATGACTTTTTTATTTGAACATACCTGACGCTCAGTGGATTTTGCGACGGCTTCTCCCAATCTGTATATTCGTTTTTCAAAGTAGAAAAAATTTCGTTCAAGTGATAGTAATAAGCATTTCTAACGTAAGTCCTTAGTATTCTATCTCTCTTTGTTTCGTTGAAACCAAATTCTAAATCCTGAGCGTTGAGATCAAGATATGATTCAGTGGAGGTGAGACCGAATAGAAGAGCTCTATCCGGAAAGTCAGCTAGTTCAAATCCTTGGGACGTAGAAATTGTGGGTGCCCCCATGTTCGGCGGTACTGCAGTAGGGTTAATTAGCACGGTTCCGTCGACGAAGGGGGCAAAACCTGAAAATAAGTATGTTAAATAAAAAAATATGAAGATAATTGAAACATATAGACTGTATTTTACAATAATGAAACATAGGTTGTAAAATTATAATCCATACGTAACTGAGAAAATCGTACCTAAACAATTACAGGTGAGCAGGCTCTAATCTCAAATCTCTAGAAAAGGATGCTGCCAAAAAGATAATCATAGGGGGTAACGTATTTTGTAAGACTTTTCTTAGATATTATTTAGATGACATTAAAATACAATTAATTGTACTGAAACATTCATTTTTTATGTTGATTTGACGTTTAGATTGAAATATGTAAATGGTTAAAATCTAAAATAAAAATTGTGAAAATCATCTTTAGCCTGTAAATATTTAAAATTGGCGATAGTTTACCCAAGAAACACACCATCATTTGCACTATTTACGTGGAATAAAGAAGTTAAAATAAATGTATGTGTTGCGGCATAGCTCGCAACAGAGAAAAACAATATTGGCGACGCGCAAGTACTTGGATGTGATACGAGAAACGATCATGCGCGAGTAGCGGAGAAATCTTGCATTTTTTACTGCGCATTTCATAGATTTCATAAATTCATAGTCAATTGTCAAATTGTCCTATTTCATATTCGTTTGTTTATTTACACCTCCTGTCACTGAAGAAAATGGGATTTAGTAAATGCTGTGTTATAAATTGTAAAAATACAACAAAAAATTGTCAATTTAAGTTTTATTCGTTTCCAACTTCGAAGCACAAATTACTACAAAGAGAAAAGTGAGTTTATATCATAAAAAAGCATAAGTAAGTAACATAACCTAAATTATGCATTATTCTTGCGACCGATTTTAAAGTCAGTTTAAAATAAATAATAAATAAAAGTTCACTTTTAAGTGAAAATTTTAGTTTCATAACACTCACTTAGAGTTCACTTTAACCCAAAAATCAAGTTTAATGCCAATGTAACTTTAAGTTTAGCTATGTATTACATAGCTTTGTCCATTTTTCTTAATTCTTTCACATTTTTACTAATGTGATGTAGTAATAGCAAACATAATTTGCCACTACTAAAACTTTTCCCTTTGACTCAGTGTTTGGCTGAAAAGTTATTCGGTAATTTACTTTCTTAAATCCAGTTTTTATGATTGCATCCATACTAACAGTAATGCTGTAATTTAATAACGTATTTATTTGTATTTACACTACATACAACGTTTACCTTTTAATAACATACCGACATAACCTCAATCTTACTTTTTCTTCTTATTTTTTTTGGGGGCTACGTCCTTGACAGTTATCCGATAACCTCGATCTAACATGAAAGCGCAGTAAATTTTGCTGATTTACGACACCAGGTGTCGCTTTTCCGAACTTGCACGGTCCCAATACTAAATATGTATATAAAATGAAAGGCAACCGTATATACATATTTCTAACAATTGCTCGTCTTCAGTACGGTGCAGCCAAGTTAGAAAAGGAGCATGTTAACTTGAGAGAGGATCACTACAGGAGCAATACGACCAATTTGTGTCAACAATGTTAGAAGACTCTGAGGTTTCGAGAGCAATAACTAACACATCTACGGAGTAAGCTCAGCTATCTAAGAAAAGGAATGGCAAAAGTTTAGAACGTTTTAAATAACAAGAAACAGGTTAATGCGAGTTAATAGTAAAATAAAGGTAGAAGGTATTGGCATTCTCGCAACAAAGGAATCGCATCAGATGTTGGAATGGTGGCGACATAGGTTACATTGGCCGCAAATTGCAAGAAAATAATACAACAGTCAGAAAGTTAGAACATATCGAACATCGGGCTGGAAAAAGTCATTCAAATACTGATTCTCAGTCAAGACGGCCATACAGTGCAAATTGTAATCACTGTCTTAAATTATTAGAACGACTTTGCCTCGTAAGACGAACCACCGTCATTAATGATCAATGCCAGCCTCAACAGATACAAGACGCCCAAGCAAATGACCCATGTATAAAAAAGTATTGGATTGGATGCATCGAAGTAGAGACCTACTTGGCAAGACATTAGTACATGTAGTCCAGAAGTCAAGTCTTACTGGAGCCAATGGAATTGGCTAGTGCTAAAAGATGATCTTCTGTATAGAACATTTGAGAAAGATGATGGTACAGAATCTAAGCTTCAGTTGATTGTACCCAAAAGTAAAGTGTCAGAAGTATTGCGTCAGTTGCATGACAGTGCATCAGGTGGACACTTTGGTATTAGGAAAACTCTGCAAAAGGTTCGAGAATGGTTCTATTAGGTGAATTGTAAAGATGACGTAAGAAGATGGTGCCGGAAATGTGAACTGTGTGCCACTAGTAATGGTCCAGTTGGTAAAAAGAGGACACATATGAAACAGTACAATATTGCTCGTGCTATGGAAAGAGTAGCAATTGATATTGCAGGTAAACTTCCAGAGACGAATGATGAAAATAAATATATAATGGTAGTCATGGATTATTTTACGAAATACATTGAGGCCTATGCGATACCAAATCAAGAAGCTGCTACCGTTAAAGAGGTGCTTGCTAAAGAATTCGTTAGCCGATTTGGTGTTCCCTTTGAAATCCACTTTGTCCAATGGTGAAACTTTGAGTCAACCCTTTTTTTCAAAACATTTGTAAATTGATTGTAGTCAGTAAGACCAGAACGACAACCCTACATCCTCAATCAGATGGAATGATCGAGAGAACCAAACGATGGATAAACACCTGTCCAAAGTTCAAACCGAACATTAAAGAGATTAGGACTAGCACATTCATTTATTCCTAATGGCCTACTGCTCGGCCGTGAATAAAACTACAGGCCAGACTCCAACATGCCTGATGTTATGTCGTGAAGTTCGTTTGCCCTGCGACCTAGAGTTTGGCTGCAGACTTTCCGAAGAACATGTTGCAAGCGAAGATTATGTCGACCGCCTGAAGTTAAGAATGAACAACATTCATGAACTTGCCCGACAACATATCCAGTTAGCCAGTAACAGAATGAAAGATCAATATGATTCTTGATGCAACAATGAAAGCTATGAAGTAGGTGATCTTGTTTGGCTTTATAATCCACAACGTCATCGTAGCTTGTCTCCTAAAGTGCAAATACAATGGAAAGTTCCGTATGAAATTAAAAAGAGAATAAATGACGTAATATACAGAATTAAGAAGTTGCCGAAAGGTAAACCAAAAGTAGTTCACATAAATCGTTTTGCACCTTATGTTGGCTCAAATGAAACAGAAGAAGCATGAACCCTTCAACATGAAATCAAAGATGACCGGCGACCAAGCTTTAATAAATTACGCAGAGACAAAAAATACTAGATTCGGCATGACCACAGAAGTTTAGCAGGATCTTTTTAGTGTTCTGCATAACGTCTCTCTAGCCCACTGTGTTAGCCAAGATCTTGAGATGATTAAGGAATCTCCATATTTTATAAGAAGGTTGGTCGTTTGGACGAGTTAAAATATCAGCAGCTTGAAGTTGAAAGAGTACTGAGATTAGAAGATGGTCTTCGATCTTTGCTATATAGGGTGAACAGGAAGTCGTATACAGACAGGCCAAGCTACGATGATATATGGCGTGCTCTAACTAATTTGAAGAAAATCGTGTGCAATTATGACATCAAGAATTTGGCCTTACCCAAGATGGGTCATGCACCAGAAAATCTGGATTGGAAGATTGTCAGAATTATGCTTGAAGTAATCTTTCGAGAAACCAACGTACGTGTGTGTAATGTGTGTTGCATTAATCCGAAGAAATCGTGCCCTTTAAATATAGTAGATTGTTATTTATTTCTGAGGGATTCATGCAGAGCTGGAGAGTCCTATAGATTCCGCCATGCTGGGACTACATATTTACTTGCTGATCGGGACGCTCAGATCTAAGAGGGGAGCATTGTTGTCTACATGCATTCGACGTAGCCCATATAACGGTTTCATCTCGAGAACGATGATGACAATTCCATGAAACTTCTCGAAGGTTCCGGATATATCCACCTGGGGAGAGATCAAGCTGTCAAACAAGCGAAATAGAGGTGGACTATTCCAGATAATTCTAGTATATAATAACTTGTATATATAAGCAGGGATTTTATGAGTAAGGGTTAGTTGTTAAGATACTATCGTGCTGTAAACTTAGAAATACTTAAATATATTTATATAAATTAAGAACCGTTCGTTAAAGATAAAACATTTACCCAATGATATGCTATTTAAATATTTGATATTTTGTTTTAAACTTATTCTAGTTTACTTATAAATTAAATAAATTTATTTTATTTTAGTCGAATAAAATGATAAATAGCTAAATTTTATTAAATTTGTTTCAGTGCGGTTAAATAAAATATAACTTGCCTGTCAGTAACTGCATAATTGATTACAGATTTAGTTACATGGCCATAAAATATGGCTACAAGCAAAAATATCAATAAAATATTTTTAGATTTGTATATATTAATATGAATTTGACTTTTTAAATGTATGGTGTTAAATTCATTACGGTGGACAATTACCATTTTTTTATAAATATTCTGAAACATGTCTTTTAATAAGTTTATTAAACAGGTCCTAAACATCCCAAATTTATAATTGGCGAATTGTTTGCTAAAATTAGTAAACTTAGGTAATTTAGTTCTGTTTTGTTCTTACCTGGTAAAAATCGGGGAATATCCAGTCGTATATCCAGCAAATGATTTAACGGTTGTAGCCTCAGACAAGGAGCGAGGTCATCTTCTAACAAATCCCCATAGCACCTAGTGTGTAGTGAGACGCTCCTCTTTACCCATAGAGGGTCTTTCTGCAACGCCCAAGGGCTAAGACTAGACCCGCTGAGTAATATCACTCGATGCAGTAGCTCTAAAAGTATAAAAATATTTCGAATTGTATATATTAAATGATTTTTATTCTAAAATATATGTCTAACACATTGACAATAGGGATGGCGGTTTTTGACAAAACACCGGTTTTCGGTTATACCGTTTTTTTTTGCTTACGGTTTAACCTGGCAGTTATAACCAGCAAAAAAACCGGTTTTTTCAAAAACCGGTTTTCGGTTTTTTTAATCCAATAGATTAGAAAGTTACATTTACAATACACTTTAGTTTGCTATACTACATTCGATTCGATATCAATATGATCAAAATTAGTACTATCGAAAGAACATCAATATCAATGTAAATACAACACAATTTTTTGTGTTTTGTGAAAAAAAAATTCCCCAACAAAAATTTCCTAGACTCTTTCTTTAAATGGGATTTAAGGAAAATAATATCAACATAAATATTTTACTTAAAAATAAATTGGATAATGCAATTCATCTTTTATTTTTACTACCATCAAAAAAATTATCATGTATTACTTTTAACTCATTTACGACTTCCGGTATGGGTATAAATCGTTTTAAATACGTAGGGAAATCCTTGGAGATTCGTATTCGTAATCGGTAATTCGATATTCATAGTCATTATTTTTGGTAATCAGAAAAAGCCATTCAACCACTTTCAATGTCAAGAGTCAAGTGTAAAAAATAGATGATGTATAAATACCAGATCAGTTCTTATGCAAAAATATTATGATTACAAATACTTTTTCAACGAAATACTATAATAAAATTTAATTGTTTCTGGCTGATGTGAGCTTGCACTTTCAGTTTGCTTCTGTATTTATAAAATAAAATAAAAATTAAATTTTAGTTTTGTTTGGAATAATTACTTGGGTGGGATCCAAAATAATACCTAACCTAATCCTAATCACCGTAAAAACCTAATAACCGGTTTTTACTTTAAAAATAAAAAACCGGTTATAACCGGGACAAAAAAACAACCCATAAAACCGGTTATTTCGAAGTAAAAAAACCGGTTTTCGATTAAAACCGGTTAGGTGAATAAAACAGATATTGTCAAAAAACTATATTAATACATTAGCCCCCATTTGGTATCACAAAAGTCGTTATTTTTAAAACAAAGAGAATGATGAAAAAGTGAGGGTTTGTCAAACAAAATTTACAATAAACAAAAAATAAATTCATCTTATGATATTATTTTACTTGTGAATAGCTACTCTTTCAATATTGGTGAAGGCAGTTATCACTTTTACTGTCTACGAATACATAGTTGCACTGTTACTGTCATAATTTTTTTAAAAATTATGAACAACCAAGTCTGTGTAACGATTTTTTTAATATTAAGTGTTTTTTGGAGGTATAGAACTTTGAAATGGAATAAAACAAGAATGATTTTTTAACTTGACATAAAATTGACTTTATTAAAAAGATAATTTTTGTGCATTATAATATTAATATGATTTCTGGCATATGAAAGCCACTGCTAGAAGATTATCTCCTATCCCTGGGAGAAATCATCCATCCAAAAAATATACTATTCTGCTCTAGATTATCAAACAGTAGAATATATTTACATTTATCATCTGAAAATATCGTAGAAAAATTCATGAATGAAAATAACGGCAACATTGAAGTTAATAACCAGATTATACAAGCTCGACGGTATATAACTCCCTCCGAAAGAATCATTCTCTCTAATGTTTGCCCATCCATTCCTCATTAATTACTATTAAACTGGGAATAAGCCACAATTAAAGATAAAATACGTTAATTGACGTTTCAATTTCCACTTCGGAAATCGTTCTTGATGTATTAATTAAAGAACTTGAATTCATGGGGCTTGTTATTCTATCTACAATGGCCTTTTTAAAAATTAGTGCACCGTTACCCGAAATTAGTCATATAATGAGCTTTAGAAGACAAATTTTTATCAGCCCAACAGATCTCACAATTCCAGAATCGTTTTTAATTAATTACGATAATACTTCATATAGAATCTTTTTATCAAGCGGCAACCTAACGTGTTACAACTGTTAACAAAATGGGCATACGGCAACTAACTGCAAAAACCCTATCAACCCAAACCCAAATCCTACTTCTCCAACCACAGCAGAAGAAATCTCAACATGTAGCCCTTCAGAAATATCAACCATCACACCGACATCTACTTCAAATTAAACAGGCACCCCAACTACAGAAAATAAACTAAATATAAAACAAACTGCGAGCGAAACAACTACCTTACATATGAAAATTGAATCTTCACAGAACAGTTCAAAAAGAACTATTGACGATACCTTAAGTCCTTCTTCGCCTCCCAATGATACCACTAATAAACCGAAGTTTATCAGTCCAGCAGAAATACCATCTAATCCTAAGAAAAAACAAAATAAAGGTAAATCTCTAGAAGCATTCATAAACCAGCAGTCACCACGATTTATTTTAAGCTATGTTCAGATGAAAGACCTATTCGACAACATAAAGAATTCACCCGATCTACTTTCTACCGTTGAAAATTATACAAACAACTTTACAGCTCTCATCGATATGTTAAGCAAAATACATCCCTATACTCAAGACACATCTACAAAGACACGAATTACCAAATTAAGAAAAATTCTTCTAAAACACTTACAGACGCAAATCCCACACGACCTAGTATCCGATACAGACAGTGACTGCTCACAAACCAATCATTAAATAAATTTGAAGCTGTAGGGGAAAGGATGAGGTAGCTGGTTCGATAAATTAAAAGTAAATAAGTATTTGAAAAATTATGATCTCACCTTCCTACATTTGGTAGATAAAAAATAAATTAAACCTCGAAGGACCAGCGACCCATAGATCGCAAACTTGCGGATATGTAATTATGTAGTGAGTAGTAAAATAGAAAATGAAATAATTAAAATAAGAATAAAAGCTAGAAATATTTTTATTACATTATTTACAAAAATAAATAAAAAAGCGGAATTGCCAACAAATCACCCTTTTTATAATAATAAAATATAAATGTTTATGTACAATGTTCTTAAACGCACAACTGTTTATATGAAAATATAGAACAATAAAGTTTATATGTAGATTATTGAATATCCGGCAACCCTGTAATTTGTCGGACCGGTTCATGAAAAGTTAGCACGAAACCGTAGATTATCTTCTGTATGAAAAAGTTATTTCAGGTACTTACATATTTGATGCACAAACACTGAATTTAGTTTAATTAGCTATTTAATAAAATAAGTTACTCAAAACCTGCTTCTATTTGAGAAGCGCGAGAACAGAACTATCTTGTTTCTACTTGAGAAACTGAAAAAATGAATTGACTCCTTCTATTTGAGAAGGCAGAAACGAAGTGATATTAAGGGTAGTTGATTTGAATAGATTAATGTAAAATTCTGACAGGCGCAGAAGATACGAAACAGCACGAAGAAGGGATGTCGTGCTGATCGTATAGACTTTAATTTAATTTAGAAGACAATTTAGTGGAATAATAATAATTATTAGAATAATAAATAAACTATTGTAGAAAATGTGAATAATTTTCTACAGAAGCAGATAAGTGTGCGCGTGAAACCGATACGTGATAGCTAGTGATGTTTCAAGTGTTATCAAATCGCGGATCCTAAGTGAGTGGCAAAACCGGTGGGAATTTTCAGTGTCCAATCTTCGGAATATTAAACCGAACATTAAACCATGGAGATGTTTCCCCCACTAAAAGAAGGAATCAAGTGAAAATAACTCGTCTTAGATTAGGTCATACCAGTGCCACGCACAAGTTCTTAATCACCAAAGAATCCGAACCAAAATGTGAGCAGTGTAACGTTAAACTTTCGGTGAAACATGTTGTTGTAGACTGTCCAGTTTTCTCCACAGCAAGAATCAATTATGGTAACTCAATAAACTTAGGGAAAGCACTTGATGCAAATTGTTCATTCACAAATATGTTAAACTACTTAAAAGCTATTAATTTTATTAATATATAATATATTTAATATTGTAAATCTAATTCTCGCTAATAACCTACGGGTTGATGCGAATTTGTAAATAAAAAAATAAAAAAAGCCACTGCTAGCTTTGACGTAGTCTAATCTAATTGTCCAATTTTCGATGACTTTTTCCAACATTTGTGGCTGTATATCGGCAATAACATTTTGAACGTTATTCTTGAAGTAGTCAATCGTTTTAGGCTTATAAGCATAGACTACCGACTTTACATATTCCCATAGAAATTATTCTGGCGGTGTTAAATCGCACGATCTTGGCGGGAAAATCACTGGTCCGGAACTTGAAACTTTGTTAAAACCACAGCTTCTGCACATCATGGTTGTTTAATTAAGCAATAAAAAAATCAGTAATCATTGCTCTATAGCGGTCATCATTGACTGTAACGTTCTGGCTAGACTTGTGTTAGAAAAAGTACGTACCAAGGATACCACCAGTCCACAAAGAACATCAAACAGTTAGTTTTTCTGGATGTTTTGGTGTCTCAACATACACCATTGAAGAAACCAAAAAGTATGCACAATTTAGAAATCAACCTATTCCTAAAATAAAAACATTCAAAATCAAGTGTTTCCTGGGTATTTTGATTATCAGTAACTTTAACAAGCTTCGTTCTAAAAGAATATACTTGGACGTAAAACAAGATGCAAAAATACACGTGTGAGCAATTTAATAAGAAGAACTTGGTTTTTCCAAATATACTTCTTCTTCTTATGCCACTCCTAGCGGAGATTGGAAATCATCATGGCCACTGCGACTTTGTTAGCAGCGCGCCTAAAAAGTTCAATCGAACTACACCCGAACCATTCACGTAGATTACGAAGCCACGATATTTTTCTTCTTCCCACACTTTTTTTGCCCTTAATTTTGCCCTGCATGATGTTTCTTAAAAGTTCGTACTTTTCACCTCTCACAATGTGCCCCAAGTATTCTATCTTTCTAGTTTTTATCTCATTTAGAATTTCCCATCTTTTGTCTAAAATTTGCAGTACTTGCGTGTTAGTGACGCGGT